GGCCCAGGCCGGAGGAGCAGCCTGTGATGAGCCAGATTAATTGGGTCATTGTTGCTTTGATGGTGAAGGAAGTTGGGGGGAGGGGGTTAGATGGGTTTGGGGGCAATCAGCGAAGACAAAGTGAAAGGAGATGGTTAGGAAATGGTCTTTTTAATTCTAGCTAGATTTAAGTAAAGGAAATGATACTCGAGGTTCAGATCTCTTCTACTTTGAATAAAGCATTCCTTGCATATCATTACATCACAGCTCTTTTCTCCATGAAGAGCTAGGCAATGATGTAGCTATCTTCTCGGACTTAAGGAAGGAGGTAAAGATCGGGTTCTTCGTGGGCCCGTTACCTGCGAATCGATTCGAAAGCAATCACTGTACATCTCGTTTGACGAATTTGCAGATTTACGGCGAATGTTTTCCAAGTCTGGCGATGCGTGGTGAGGTCTAGTATGTCGGACGAGACCGGACATATGGCTGCGAGTCAGCTAGTTGCTGACCGGGGGCAAAGCAAGACGAAAACAAAACACCACATGTGGATTCGATGACAACCCTTAGCTACGGTAAATCCGTATGTACTGTGGCTTCTGTAACGTCATAGTCGCAAACTCTCAACGATGAGAGTAACAGTACAAATGTCATATAAAGCCTCCCGCGACTACGATAAGATGGATCATCACAACTTCAAGTTCTCACTCGTCTGCGGAAGTAAATCCACGAGCCATTCCATCAACGACCTCCTCCCTCTCTCCTGAACAAACCACCACCACCCCCACCATCATGGCAGACCGCTACGTCGCAATTCACGCCGACCCCAAGGGCCCAGGCGACGCCCGCCCAACAGCAGAACAAATCGTCCGCGACGAAAACCTCGTCCCCTCAGGCCTCGCCTCCAAAACCGCCCTCATCACAGGCTGCTCCGCCGGCATCGGCACCGAAACCGCCAAAGCCCTCTACCTCGCCGGCGCAACCCTCTACCTGACAGCCCGCAACCTCTCCAAAGCCCGCAAAGCCCTCGGCGACGACCTCGTCAACGACACAGCCCGCGTCCACCTGCTCGAACTCGACCTCGAATCCTTCGCCAGCGTCCGCGCCTGCGCCGCCGCCTTCCTCGCCAGCACAGACAAGCTCGACATCCTCATCTGCAACGCGGGCGTCATGACCCCGCCCGAAGGCCGCACAAGGGACGGCTTCGAGACGCAGTTCGGCACGAACCACCTCGCGCACTTCCTCCTCTTCAACCTCCTCCAACCCGCACTCCTCAAAGCCGCGACAACCTCCCCGTCCCACACCTCCTCCCGCGTGGTCATCGTCTCCTCCGTAGCCCACCGCTTCGGCCAGCCAAACTTCGCCAACATCAACTTTGACGGCTGCTACGACCCCATGGCAACCTACGCCCAAAGCAAAACCGCAAATCTCTGGACGGCCAACGAGATCGAGCGCCGGTACGGCGCCCAGGGTATCCACGCCCTGAGCCTGCAGCCCGGAGGCGTCATCACGGAGCTGATGCGCCACATGCCCGAGGAGCAGCAGGGCGGCTTCGCCAAGCACCCGTACCTTTCCAAGATCTTCAAGACGGCGCCGCAGGGGGCCTCGACGTCCGTGTGGGCCGCCACGGCGGCGGCGCTCGAGGGCAAGGGAGGGATGTACCTCGAGGACTGTCAGATTATCGGGCCGTGGGATCCGGCTGGGGAGCCGTGGGGGCCCGGGTACGGCGAGCACGCGTATGACGTTGAAAAGGCGACTTTGCTTTGGGAGAAGTCGCTCGAATGGGTCGGGCTGTGAGGTGCTATTGGCTTGACGTGATGAGATGTGATAGAATAGCAGAATCAAAGAAGAAAAAATTACCCAGAGTTTCTCTTGGCGGACAACTCACCCCGATGTTTCGTATGCCCCTCATTTGCTTCCGTGTGCGTGAGCTGCTGTATAAGACGGGCAGAGTGACAGAGCGACATTTTGAAGCTACAAGAAGCCTCCAGGCCCCATGCAAGTCGTTACTTATGAGACTTCAGTGAGGATGAACACATCCAGAGCTTGCCACCATACTTAATAAAACAGAACATCATGTACATTTGTCCCCCTGAGTATACTACACTGAACCTTGTATCAGACTCCTTGAAAATGCTCCCGTGCCGAATACATGTACAGTAGATCAAATATCAACACAAAGAAGGAGACCGTTCATACAATGCCTCACAGTAGGCTCTATCTCACTGTTCTACACATGAAAGCTGTCTCACGCCGCCTTCTTCTCGGCAGACACCTTCTTCTTCAATGACCCGGGCGGCGTCTTGAGGCCGGCAAACACTGCGGCGGCCACGACAGCCATACCCGTGGCACCCATGGTGTACGCAACTTCGCGGCCAGCCCACCAGTATACGCTGGTAAAGAGAATCGGCCCCAACCCACGGCCAAGCTGGCCCCAGCTGCGGAGGATACCAAGCTTGCCACCGCGCTCGTCCTCAGCAGCCTCGAAGCTGCTCAGCGTGTTAAGACCTGAGACAACGGTTGCGGATGTGACAGCAAGACACGTCGCTGCGGCGTACAGCCCGCCGGTGGTTGTGATGCGGCCCAGGAGGATAAAAGATGCCAGACATGCCACGACACCAGTGCGCACGGAGAGCAGAGGTGGGAGGCGGCGAGTGACACCACCCTGAAGAATCGAGGCGACGAGACCAACGAAACCGAGGAGGCGGCCGTTCTTGGCGGACCCGAAGGCGAAGAGCTCATAGGTCATGAAGGAGAGAGAGGACTCCATGCCGGAGAAGAAGAGCAGGAAGATGAAGTGGACGGCGTTGAGAAGGAAGTGCGAGTTCGTTCGGACCAAGGGTGTCGATTTCGGTTTCGTCGTGCTCTTGTCATCCTTCTTCGCGCCGCGGCCCTTGCCCGTCAATGAGGGGAGGGTTTCGGGGAGGCAGAAGTAGAGGTAGACAGTCTCGGTCAGAATAAGGAACAAGCTGAAGCCGGCGGCCGTGGCGAAGGGGTTCTCCTTGACGGTGCTGATGCTGCTCAGCCAGGCGCCCAGACCGGGACCAAATGTGAAGGCGATGGAGAAGCAGGCACCGATGAGGGCCATGGTGGAGCCTCTGCTCTGCTCGTCCGAAATGTCCGTCGCCATGGCGGTAGCGAGCTGAACGTTGCCCTCAGACAGGCCACCTACGACGCGGGAGGCGACAAATGTGCGGAAGTCAACGGCGACGACCCAGAGGAGCACAGAAAGGATGTTACCGCACATGGAAGCCAGTAGAGCGGTGCGGCGGCCGTGACGGTCTGAGAGGTGACCGATGAGCGGGGAGGCGATGGCCTGGAGCAGACTGAAGAGGGAGCCGAGGGCGCCACCGAGGAGAACAATATCATAGCGGGAGTCGATGGGGCGAGCGAAAGCGGCCTTGTAACGGTTCAGACCGGACAGAACGGACTGGAGGAGGGTGGCGGGGCCGGTTGCGTTTGCGATCTCAGGGCCGACCTCGCGGTCGCGGTAGAATTCGAGTAGCTTGGGGAAGAGTGGGAGGATGAAGGTGAAGGAGACCTGGAGGAACAGTGTTTGTTAGTTTTGGGAGTCAAACGGTGGGAGACAGAGGGCCGGAGCGGCTTGAGGGTGTGGGATAATACCAGGTCGAGAAGCAGAGAGATGGCAATGACCCTGAGCACACGTTTGCGCGTGGAGGGGTCGACTGCCGTTGAGGGCGACGGTGATGTCGCTGCGACTGCCATTGTCGCAAGCCTGCGCTGATTGTCTTGTGTGTAAGAGCGAGGTAAATCGAATCGTGGAGGACGTTATATTCGGTGTTCGTCAACAGTTAGCCGTTGTATGGTGATGCAGAGAATGAGCGTGGGGTAGTTGGAGAGTCGAGTCGAACAGGGGAGAAGATGTGAATCAGCCAAGGCAAGAAAAGAAAGGCCAAGTCTGCATTAGGCAGGGGACTCGGAAGTTGAAGATGAGAAAGCGGAAACGAAGAAGACAAGTAGAAGAATGAGTATGCAGAAGTAAGAAAAAGGATATCGAGGTGGGACGACAGGTGACAGCACAACATGAAGGTACAATACAACGGATGGACACTGGAGGGGAACGGGGCCACTCAGTAAAAGGAACAGCGTGGAAGTCGCGGCGCGCGGTGTCCAAGCTCCCCCGTCATTGCCGTCGGCCGGTGCATTGCAGTACTGTACCTGTCCGTGGTGGTGGAGAGTGGTGCAGAAACATGCTCTTTCTGCCCTTGTCCCCTGAATTTGGGGCCATGGTGGTGATCCAGTCGGCCCAGTCCGATGTTTCAGGGTCAGGGGCTGACGCTGGCCGCCCCAATGGCTGGGACTTGGTGGGGCCCACCCGACCTTCAGTGCTCCTGTGCTCCTGCACCTTGCGGCCCACGGGCTTAAGTTGCTGCTGCGCTAAACATCGGACGGCACCCACCCCGGACCGGGGATTTGTTGACTTGTCCCCCACCCCGGACTCGGCCAAGTACGTATCCGTAGTCAGCTGCTATTTGGGGTGATTTTATTGGACGCTGCTTTCAACAGGCACTTTGACCTCCACATCGGCAACAGGCGCGAACTTGGACCTCACTTACTAACTTCTCTCTACCTATTTCTTCTTCTGTGCATGTACGAGAAACAATCCGATCTCTGAATATCTATCCTACTATCATCAATTATATACCCACTTGATCAGACGCTGCAGCACTGCCATTCGATCCCATCTCACATCATCAGATGACAAAGTCTGCCGTCAGCATTACCGTCCATGCTTCGCATAGTGCTGGGAGATGACGGGCAGCCGAGGCCAAGACCTTTGTGCTTGTCCTTCCCGAATTGACGCCAATTTCTCAGACTATCGCAACTCTAAAGGGCCCGGCGATGGAACAATGTCACACTGGCAAAGACGGCAATCCGCATTCCCCGAGCTTGCTCAGCCACCAATTCTGCCCAAATTGCAGCACATCGCGGACATATTGAACAAGACACCGGCACTGGACTATCCGTTGCACACTAACGATGAACGCCGCTGGGATCGTCAGTCAGTGCTGTCTGTCAAACATCACGCGGATCCCCTTGGATTCCTAGATTGGCTCGTCAGTCACCATACACAAAACCCTTCAATGCAATCCGTCGAAAACGTACCTTATAAGGGATTGGAATAAAATAGTCCGCAGCCATCTCACAGTCTCTCACCGTCGTCTCAAAGATCCTGAGCACACCAACATCACCCGCCCGCCGGTCCTCTCCTTCCTTTCCACTACCGTCCACGACGCCCGCTCCGCCCCACCGCCGGAATAGCTTCGCGAGCATGAGATACAACTCGGCCTGCGCTAGCGCCATCCCGAGACACACCCGCGTGCCCCCGCAAAACACGGTCAAATACTTCTCCAGCCGCTCGCCGTCCTCCACCCACCGCTCCGGATGGAACCCAAACGGGTCATAGTAAATGCGCGGATCCGTCTGCGTCTTGTACGTGCTCATCCCAATCACCGTCCCCGGCGGGAGGTGCACGCTCCTGCCACTGCCGTTCTTGTCGTGATACACCAGCGTCTCGTCGGGGCACACCCTCGCCAGCCGCGAACTCGTCCCGAATCCGAGCCGCAGCGCCTCCTTGACGACACCCCGCAGGTATGGCAGGTTCTCCAGCTCCGCGAGCGGCACCACGGCATCGCGGTCCGGGATCGCGGAGAACAGCTCGTCGCGCAGCCGGCGCAGCGTCGAGGGCCGGTTGATGAGGTGGAACACGGCCAGGGACAGCGTCCACGACGTCGTGAGCGTGCCGCCCTGCACCAAAATCTGTCCGTCCTGCGCGAGCCGCGAAACCGTCTTCTCGGCGGGCGGCAGGAGCTTGGAGGAGAGCATGTCGTGGAAGATTGTCGGGTGGCTGACGTCCAGCTGCCACTTTTCCGTGTGCTGCGTGGCTTTGATCTCGCCGATTTGGTCCTTGATGTCGTTCTTCATCTTGAGGAAGCCGCCCCAGCCTGTTTGTGGATGTGAAATGTGAGTAATGAGCCGAGAGTGAGAAGCCATGATAGTGTAGAGGCAAAGAACAACTTACCGGGAACGAAACGCCCGGAAAATGATTCTGGTAATCCGTTGACCAGCGTCAGGGCCCAGTTCATATGCTTGATCATGGGCCCCAGATGCGTACCCATGAGGAGGTTATCCGTCACCACCTTGCCGAACGTCTCGTCCTCGACTGCGGAAATCTCATTAGCTTCCACTACTGATGTATGCCAACCTTTCAGACCGCGCTACTCACTTAGGTGGTCACTCCTGGCGAAGCTATATTCGTTAATAACATCTGATCCATCCCGTCAGTAACTGAAAACTCCAAATCCTTCCAGCAAAGGCATTGAGGCCAGGGGTTGGTTTTGGTTTACCATTAGTAAAGGCCGAAAAGGGATACATGACGTCCAACGGCTCCTTGGACCTCTCGCTAAATTCCAGAAGACGGTCAAGCAGCGCATCGACCCGTTCCTCGATAACAGGCTGCAACTTGCGGACCGTCTGCGTCGAGAAGAAAGGGTTCAGCGCCGCGCGCCGAAGTTTGTGGTGATCATGGTTCACAGTCGCCAGCGCGCTCTCTCCAGGTATCGTTAGCTCATGACACGTTTCCCTTCATTGAAGAGAGAGACAAGGCTTTATAATATTGCTTACCAGGGGACCCGAACTAAAATTCAGTCCACATTAGCAAAAAGACGTTTACTTTCTTTTCAACCTCACTCTCAGAAAGGGGGATCAAAGTCGCAATATTACACACCTGCTGCGTATAAAACCCCCACTTCTCCCTGACCCTCCCCGGTCCCGTATACAGCTCCGAAAAGAACTCCGGGTCGCCGACGTGCACCTCCCACGGACTAATCCGCACCACGGGCCCGTACCGCCGGTGCAGCTCGATAATCTTGAACGTGTACTGCCCGCCGAGGACAATGTCGTAGTAGAACTCGTACAGCTGCGTCAGCGCCGCGAGGCGCGGACCCGGGACGTGGGAGATGGGGCTGAAGTAGAGGCGGCGGACGCCGAGCTGGAGGGCGTAGAGGAGCCAGAGGAGGGAAAGGAGTGCTGCGAGTTGTGTCGGGGTGAGGGCGAGGGTGGTTAGGCCCGAGAGGATGGTTTGGATCGCCATCTTTGAATTCGCTTCCGTGCGGGTGTCCTTTGCGATGGAAACTTGCTGGAGCACGGGAGAAGATGGGAAGTTGCTTTCTCTCTGTCTCTCTCAGCTCGAGCTGTATCTACCCGAGAGGCCGGGTCCCGTAGACCATATAATAGACCACCACCTCACTACACGCCGCCGCCACTACCATCACCTCACCTCACAAACACCCCCCAAAACTACTGCGTGCCGGGATACGTGCTTAACGGGAACAAAAGTGGCGCCCAGCTTTGAACAATGAGGTTTAGCAAACCGGCCTAGCGGCGGCGCTAGTACAGGGTGGTCGTGATGATGGTTTGATGGGGAACAAACCAAGTAGCTACTAGCTGCGCTGCGCTGAAGCAGCTTTTTTCGTCGTCATCTTGGCGGGAAGAAGATTGTGGGTATTTGGTCCTGGAACTATGTACTGATCCTGAAAGCAGGTCCCTCTTCTTTTTTTTACTTTTTTGGCTGCCCGCCAGTGTCCGTGTCGAAGACGAAGAAGAAAGTTTTCGGGTGCGTCCATTGATAGACTAAGGTAGGTTTTCCTGCGGCCGGAGTAGCGTGATGAAGGTCCGAGGCCATAGCTTCGGGTACCCTAGTTGAGTAAGAAGATACCGGATGAAAGAGAGACTATGACTTCTTTCAGGGACACACACTCTTCCTCAACTACATGGTATCTTGGATCTGGTATCTTGCGTCGTGTTTCGTCAGATACGTGATCTCGGGTGGATCGTATTTGGCGATGAACATAAGATTCTAGAACCGATCGATGCTTCGTGTGTTGTTTGCCGGTGCCGGCAATCACCAGGAGATTATTACCCTAATTCAGCAATGGAAATCATATCTCCGGGCCTCGTAAGGAAATTATACCACAGAGCAGCAGGCCCAGGGAGCTGGGTTTGCTACACATAGATCTCATTATCAAAAGATCGGACAGATCGGATCTAGCAAAGGGAGAAATTGTGCCGCCAAGCATTGATCCTTCACGTACGGGGCAAGATTCCTTCGATTTGCACATTGAAAGGATGAGACGTGGTTTGCCATGCTAAAACTGAAACCAACAGAAACACACAAACAGAGCCTCATGGGTTCTAGCCTCTAGATTGGAAGCAAGCAAGCAAGCACCACCACAGAGGCGCAGCATCGACCTACTTAAAGCAAGGCACGAAGCACGTGAGGTCTTGAAAGTTGGGTTACGAACAGGCCTACCCCCGTTTCCTGGAGACCGGAATGAAGTCGAAATTGACTTCCCAACGGCAAACACCATCTCCGTCCGTATGGACAGTCCCGGAAGGAAGGTCACCGAGATCCGGCATTGGCACCTTACTCCGGAAGGGGCTTTACACCGGGCTTCGCCGCCCGCCCGCGGAGACCCGTTGCATGGGAGTTCAGAGTTGGCCAACAGGAGAATGAGGAGAATTCCGTCATAGTAAATCCTTCCTACGTAATCGAAGCAGAGCTCTCTCTCTGTGTGTTCCTCGACGATAAAGCTTGTTTTATCTTCGTCTCTGACCGAAGTGTGCAGTACGTCTACGAGGATAGCTTGAGACACCAAGGAAGAATCGACCCTGCCAAGTTGCCAAGGCTTCGATGATAAGAGAATGCAGAGCATTAACCAACCCCGCCAAACCATCACCGTCTTTGCGGATTGGTAGTGCTATGCAGATATGACGGCATGTTGTGTACAGCAGCAGGCGATCGGTGCTGTGCCGCAGATGAGGAGCAGAGGAGGAACTTAAGAGGAGGAAAGATCCCCTAAAGTCTGGACCAATTGAGTTCCAAAAGTTCAACGTGTGCCGGGCGACGATCTGCAATCAGTGTTACTCAAATGACGTCGCGACCGCCCTCTCGTCTCCTTACGAGTTCGATCGTCTCTCGCTGTCCTTCTCTCTACGGATACTCCAAAGTTCCAAGAGGCCTGTGAGATTGTAGATGCCATCGGTGCCAAGGATTATATTATAGATGCCTAGAGGGTGGGAACATGTTCGTAAATTGTTTCCTGGAAGAGCAAGATCATTGGCGCTGACTACGGATACACTACTATGAGAGCGGAGTCAAGTCGAGCACATGGAGAAATAAGCTTCCAGGTAGCATGGGAGTTTGGCACGACCTTACCTTGGTCCACTCCACTGGGATTATGCCCCTGTACTAAATGTGCGATAAGCTCCGAGGGAAGCATTGGTCCCTCCTCTCACAAGCCTCTCAGGGAATCACAGCCCTCCGGTTGCCTCCGTGGTGCTCCAGTTCTCCAGAACAGAAGGGGGAGGGAGGGAGGACCGCACATGGCCGCTCCGTAAGGCTGATTGAAAGCTACGCCAGGTCCCCCGCTGTTGATGCTGCCAACTGGGGGTTCTTGGTCTTGGTCTTGGTCAGTCTCCAGGTTCAGAAGGGGTTATCCCTCCAACAGCGCTTACAAGTATACACCATGCATGCCCCCCTGGCAGCTTTGAGAACACCGCCCGATACTGTGGTTACCGCGATGCCGAAAGAGGAACTATCAAGTCGCGACTTCTTCGACTTTTCCTCTCTCCTATGGAGCATCTCGTACCTACAGGCTACAGCCTATTACCACGAGCCAGGACGGCGCCAAGGAAGAGCCCCTGGCGGGCTGTCATGGCGAGATTATACCACGCTACGAATACCGTTGTACCTTTTGCGCGCAAACTGGCGAATGGTATCGCCTACGGCTGATCTTTTGCCAAGACCAGACTAAGAAAATCCTCAATCACACCTTGTCAACTCGGTCTCCTCGCTCTTTCTCACCAGCCAGCCAGACCTTGCCAGAGTGGCAGAGACGTGATCGTCGCCGTCTGCTGGGCCAATTCATGGCATCCTCCAAGTGTCTTTCTCCTGGGCAGGTTAAGCTTGTTTTCCTTGCTTACAACTAACTTCCTAGTTTCGGGGTTTGATGAATATGCGCAGCTGCGCAGCCTCTCAAAAGAGGTCAAAAAGATTGCAGGTCAGAAATGACGAGAGAGGGGGCCGCCCAACCAACAAGTTCAACCCCCGCCTCACCCCCAGACCATCTGTATCTGTACGGTGTGTGACGGTGTAACTAGCAGGGCTCAGATCAAAGGCCAATGTTCGGTGGCCTGGGTGCGTGGTGGTGGTGGGACTAAACCGCCGGCCGCTGGTCGACGCATGTAAGACGGGCGGGCGCCGCTTGCGGTGTCTTTGATACTTAAAGACTTGGCAGCCCGCTGCTCTCTCTCTCTCTCACTGTCTTCAGCCTTAAATCCATTCTTACTTTGCTTCATCGAACATTTCCTCTATCACATCTTCCCCTCAGTTCGAGTGTCTTGTGTAACAGAGTCTCGCACAACCAATCAGATATCCTCCAGCGAGGGACGAGAACCAATCGATCTAAGCGCCGCCGCCAGCTCACAACAGTAACAGCAACACACCTACCAACAAACCCAATCCAACCCAAGCACACATGGACTTCATCCTCGACTCCCGCGTCCCCAAAGGCGGTGGCTCCAGCGGCAGCCGCGGTTCCAGCGGCAGCAGCAAATCCTCAAAATCATCCAAATCAAAGAGCGGAAAGAACAAGTACAAAGGCGGCGGCCGCGTCGGTGCCGCCGGCGGAGGCGGGGGAGGTGGAGGAGGCGGCGGCTTCAGCGCGCTTCCCCTCTGGGCCCGGATCCTCATCATCGTCCTGGTTGTGTGGTTCATTCTGTTCCTGGTCTCGCTCGCGTTTTACACGGTCAAAGGTAAGGCTCGTCTTACTGCAGGAGTATTGAAGAACAGCATGACTTACACCGGAGAACAGAATACAAGCGCAAAAAGGAAGGAAAGAAATTCCGCATCGGCCACGTCCTCGGCCACGCCCTCCTCGTCTCCACGGGCCTCTGGATCCCCTTTACTCTCTACCGAAAATTCATCTCCCGGCGCAGGGAAAAGTCCAGAGGAAGTGGCGGCGACGGCGACGAAACCAAGCGCTCCGCTGGCGGCACATACGCCAAGATTGAAGAAGGCAGGAGATCCGATGACACCGGAAACCGAGACTCTTGGTATGCCGGAGCCGGAGCCGGCACCCACAACAATAACAACAACGCGGACAGCAAGTATGAGCCCATGGGCTACGCGCCTCATTACCGGTCTCCGTCACCTGCTGAGCCCCCGGCGGCCGGTGCTGCTCCGGCTCCCACCGGCGCGGCGGCCGAGTATTACATGCCGCAGCCGCCTTCTCAGACGGCGCCGACACAGCACCCGCCTCAGTATAGCTAAAGGATGTCCCGGTTCGGATTACGTCTCGGGCCATGGTTGAATGATGATGGGCTGGGTTTCTATGATGATACGCCTTGTTTCAACGTTTTGCTACTTTCTTCCCTTCTCTGGATCGATACCCCTTTTCCTCAATTTAGCGTTTCGTATTACTTTTGTCAGTACAAAAGGATGCATGTACCGATGTGTGTCACAAAATAGGATATAGAACAGAACTTCGATCAGAACTTCAAACTTTACTATTACTCATTTGATTTTTGGGTACATACCTCCTACATCACCACTCTTCACCTTGCAGTATCTCTCAACCATACGCTCCAGTCGCCAAAACAGATGTTCCATAGTCCACGCACTGCGATACCTGGAGTTCTTGTGCCCCATCTATAGGTGCGACGCAGTCCGGTTCCCGTAGGGCCTACCAATGCTCCAACCAACGAAGCTTCCCTATCCACCTCCTCAATGACATCGGGCTGGTATCTCGCCTCTTGTCCTTTAGTCAGCCGTAGACTGCGTGTTGATGGCCGACGGACGGCGTAAACACTCTTTGTCGTCCATCTGAGAGGCTAAGGGGAGGCGCCACAGCCATCGCCCTCAAGGCCCAAAGCTGATGTCAACTTATGTGGTTTTCTGCTGAACCTCGTCAGCGCGTCGATTCATCCCGCTTTGTCCTCTCTCTTACTTACACCGCGCACCCGAACTTATCGGCTCATCATACATCTAGCCCCGAGCCCTGTCTAACAATTCAATTGGCTACTCCTCCACACTGGTTAGAATTCCCATCAGTTTCGAACGTCCCACACAAGATATGGAAGATCAAGTGAACACAACCATATTACCGAGCAGCCGCCATCCCGAGTCTTATGAACCCTCTTAACGAAGCCATCCATCCTTAGTTTACAGTACCTCTACTTCTTAGCCGCAGCCCCATCACCGCCGCCCCCAGCCCGATTCTTACTCGGAGCCGACGCGGAAGCGGAAGACCCCGAACCCGTGCCGTTCCATCCTCCCATCTGCCGTTGTTGTTGCTGCTGCTGTGACTGCTGTTGCGCCATCTGCATCTGCATCTGCCGCTGCATCATCGCCCTCTGAGCCGAGGCTCCGTAATCACCGCCGTCGTTCTGAATAGCGAGGCTTGCCTGGGCACCAGCACCCCCACTCGTACCAGCACTGCCGACAGACCTCGGCTTCTTCTTCTTTGCGAATCCTCCCAGGTCTGAGGTATCGTACCCGCTCCGACCCATTCTGTTCCTCTCCCCTTGTCCTTCCCTTTGCCGCGTCGAACGTACGGTCTTTACACGTATTTCGTGTAACTGTTTCGTCGCGCGGTGCGTTGATGAACTTGGTGGACGTGTGAGAGGTCTCCTCGCCTCTTGTGCTTGCGACTTTCCGGAAAGGAGGGATTCCGGATCCCAAATGGTCAAGTCGATTAAAAGCGCCCGTATGCGCCAACTGGAATCGTGTCTTTCAGCTTCCTTCCGACAATGGAAGTGAGCTTTTCTTTTTTTGTGAAGGGTTGGCCCGGTCTGGAGGAGTCGGTCTCCTCTCGTATAGTGATTCAAAGTAGATTGATAAAATGAGTGCGTCAGGGCGGCCGCGGTCGTAGAAGAGCAGGCCCTCGGCAACCAGATATCGTCTCGTAAAGTCTCGTGTGTTTGCTACTTTCTCTTACGAATGACATGGTCTGAGTGGAATGGCCTCAAATTTCTGCTCAAGGTAAAAAGCGATAGATGGATTCAACAATGACTCTCGTTATAGTAGACTTGAAGTCAAGAAAGCTGATTTGATGGTATTTGATGGTGACTGATTGTTGATTTCGACCGTTGATCCCCCACAAAATATCACGAGTGGAAGTGTGTGGATATGGAGTTGAGTTTGGGTGTGTGTCTCCTGTGTAATGACAAAAGTCGCAGAACCAAGCAAAATCTTCGACCTCCATGCGTCTTTCCCTTTTGCTTTATACGAGCCAAATACCAGAAATGGAGCACTAGAGTCGCAAATCCCATCTTGCTTGTCTTGCTGCTTGCTCCAAAAGAGATCATGGTTGCGAAATTTGTCCCAGACTTTCTTGTATTTTGTTTGCCCGTCACTGACTCAGCCTGTCTCAGGAGGCTTTTCCTTGGTGTCACTAAAACTTCGTCAGAAAACAAGGGAGATGGACAGAGGACGTGTTCCTCATTGTTGTTTTTTTTGCTTTTTCCTCTCCGCCCTCTCGTCCTCTCCCCTTTTCTTATTCCCGCCCCGACGAAATGCAAATGCACTATCGTTGTCTTCCTGTGCCTGGAGAAGAGAGTGAGACAACAAATCCGTACGAGACCCCCCTCTCACTGGTATTTGTTGAGCAAGGGAGGTAAGTCTGCATTGGCATGTCTCCCCGTGCCCCTGGCCCCCTGGCCCCTCCTCTCCATTGTCTGGACTGACACAAAGTTCCGAAAGACAATGAACCTGAAAGAGACATGCAATACAGACGCTGTCAAACCTGTCAAGCTTGTTAGATCGTTCGCAAATCTCGGGGAGACCACGGAGATGGACCCGGCTGGGTGGTCAAATGGGGCACGGCTGGGATTGGATCGGGACCCGCTCCGCCAGTATGACGTTCTGTTGGTAAGTTCCATTCAAGAGGCTCAAGTAAGACGTTCTTCGTTCCCCTGCGATGATCGTGATGATGAGGGATGAAGCTCGCCCCCGATGATTCAGAAGGATTCGCTCATTAGACATGGGAAGGGCGATAAGCACTTATAAAGAGCCCCCGGGAGTCAGGCCTCGCTAGTCAGGCACAGCGCCACCAGGAAATGTCGTCTCATTCCGTCACGGGAGGGAGTGGTCGAGATCCTTCTCCTGCGCTTTGGAATTGCGTTCATCAGCGATGAGATCTGACATATTCCAGGCGATAAACCGAGGTGGCGGTGACTTCCACTACGGCCTTAATCCAAGGCAACGTCGAACCGAAATATCGATGCTTAGTGTCTCAAATTCCGAGACAGATTTCCTGGCGCCATCTTGCCGTGTGTTCCAGCACTGGTTCGGCCGCGATAGATGGTCAAGCATTCTTCTGAATACCCTAGATCTATCGAGTAGCATCGGCCAAAGGTAGCAATTTGGTATTCTTAGGAAGAGGAAGTGTATTAGGATCGGAATGAGGTCCGCCAAAAGAAACCATCTATACGAAAATGTACAAACTTACGCCATTCATCCACACCATAATCAGGCCGATAGGTCGTGGGATGTTCTTGAAGGGCATTGCCACAAAGGACCCCAACAGCTTCGTGCTGCTATTTGCCAATCTCCGTTATCAAGGCATGTTGAGCCGTTGACTAGGAGTAGCTCACTGCTTTGTCGTATGTCCAGCATCCATGGGCTTGACAGCTTCCTTCGGTCTATCGGTCGGCTCCTCCTTTGCCTCAGCTCGATTTTGGGCGAAAGTGTCTCTGGTGGTCCTTATTAGTGTACTAGCTCCGAAGTCCTATCCAGCGATATCAACATTGCTTGTTCGTACCTGAGAATGTTGCGGCAGCTGGATCGAGGCGTATTCTCTATCGGTGGAGATAGGCCAGCCTTGGTTGGTTGAGGATTCCGCTCTGCCGTGGCATCTTGCTGATCAGACAGTCCCGAGTCCTCGCTCTGCATGTTTTGTCTTGTCTCCCTGTGGCTGTATGGCGACTCGTGACCACCCTTGCTCTTCTTCTTATCCCGACCGAGGAGTCGTCGAAGCCTGGCCCGAAACCCTCTCTTCTTCTGCTCCTTCTTCGGCACCCTCTTCTTCGGCTTCTTGCTGCCACGACGCCTTGGACGCTGCTCCGAACCAGAAGAAGGTGCCGAAGAACCCCAATTATCCGCCAGGATATTCGGCGGCAGCTCCAGGTCGTCTACATCGTCAACGTCGTCGACATCGAAGTCCTCTTTTGACGAAAAGGGCCCCCGGGACTCGGTCGATGCCCTCGACCTCCGTGTCCCCCGAGACGGCGTCATCCGCGACACGAGCATGGCCTGCTTCTTTTTCATCAATCCCATGCTCCAGTTAGATTGAGAATTCAGCCTTTCCAAGGACGCCAAGAAGGACTGGCTTTTGCCGCTGCTGTGGCTGCCTTCGCGGCTATGTAGTCTCTTGCTCTTATCTTCGCGGTAGGGGGAAAGGAGTGGAGCGATTGGTGGTTCGTTCCAAGAGGCAGGGCTGGGTCCGGCCATTGTATTCATCAGCGAACTTTTGGGGGTATTCTAGCAGGTACATGTACTCGTAGCGATGTGATGTTTCGTTGCTTCAAGCCAGGCGGATTGTCGGATGTCGAGAAGGGTGTACGATGGATCTGGAAGCTCAAAGCTCGAAGCAGGTGAGGTCTTTGCGACTAATGTGCCCAGGCAAGAGAATTAGAGGTAAGTGAGCTTCTCAATGGGATGCTCCTTCGTAGAAAGTCAAATGCACCGAGAACCTGCCCCAATAGCGTCGAGTGCCGAGTTGAGGAAGGCGAGCCTCCAATCGAGGCAGCTTGCACGCTTGTCGCTGCTATCAATTTCCATTGGGAAGCCGCGTTGTACACTCAAAATAACACTAAAAAAGATACCGTGAGCAAGTAAGGTATCGTTACTTGGCATAAAGCGGCACTCTTCACAACACCATACGCAACTGGAATTGAGTTGCAACGTAAATACTATCGTTGATTCACACTTATAAAAAGACGGGCAACTAAATTCGCACCGAGGTATCATCAGCCGTACAGACAATCCTCGTATCAGAGCCGTGAAATAATAGCAATACCCAAATACTCCTCCCCAAGGGCCGTGAGACCGTGATACATACGTTCAGGAAGCCACCAAACTCCTATATCCTTGTCCAACTGAACATCATTAATACGCTTCTCACAAATTTTCACATCCTCGTCAAACTCTCAAGGCCAGCGACTGGGGCCAATAATCTCGCCAGGTGCCACTTGCGTCCTGATTGCCGTTCCCTTCCAGTCCATCGTTTGAAATACGTCGACATTACCCCACCATTGTGGTGGCCTGGCGGATGTGAGGTACAGCGTGAAGAAGATGATGAGGGTGGCCACGATGAGGCCACAATCGAGAGCTGCCGAGGTAATGTAGTTGTATTGCAACCACCAGCCAGTGTAGCGACGCTTGATGAAGAAGTTGAAGATGGTGCCGACGAGCGCCCAGCAGAGGTAGATGTAGACACTGGCAGGGGGGAGCCAGCCGGAACCTCCGTAGAGGAGGGGGGTGTTGACGTAGCGCCAGATGCTCTTGGGCCACTTCCGGGCAAGGAACCAAGTAATAACTGGTGTGATGGCGCCAACGAGCCAGAACCACTGGAGAGAGGCGTACAGAGCTTGGCCGGAAAAGATGCGGGCGGGGCCGATCGCACCCCAGATGATTGATGCGGTGAAGAAGACACGACCACCGGGGCAGGTGTAGCTGTTGGGCTGGTCGGGCTGGCAGACGTCGGGGATGGTGCCGAGGGCCCAGTTCATGACAGCAATCTGAACGATAGCTGACCAGAGCGACGCGACAAGCTGGGAGGCGAACATGGTACGAGGGGGGACCTTCATGTAGTGACCGAGCTTGAGATCCTGTGCAAAGTACAGCGCTTGCGACATGCAGATGTAGCCGTAGTTCTTAAACATCATCATCGCGAGGGGTCGGCCCGGCACCATGTAACCGATGATGAACTCGGTCAAAACGTTGAGGCCGAGCTGGATGTTGGTGATGGCCTGTACGATGCCGATAGGAATGAGCCAGAATACGGGAATCAGAATGCACACAACGTAGGCCCACGCAGGGAACCCAGTTGGCCACCCGGCAACAACACCAAACGAGATGGCAACCATGACGACGAAGAGTGCTGAGAATGATTGTTAGCCTAGGTCAAAGGAAAATACCATCGACAAAACGTACCCAGATACCACCAGTCCTCAGCGTCACGATACTTCTTCATCAAACGCATGTGCACGTCGTCCTCTTGATGGCGTGCCAGCTTGAACTGACCCCAAATTTCGGTGCCATGGTACAGAACAACGTGGACGACAACGGCAGCTACGGCGGCGAACGACAGAGCGTAGGCCAGAGCGAATTGAGTCGGCAGGTAGAGAGGAGAGTAGTCGTTGTAGGCGGTCTCGTTGAATTGCAAGTTGGCATCGAGGATTCGGGTGACGTTGTAGACGGCGCCAGTATTGTCGAAAGATTCGGAGCTCTGTACGGGGAAGTAGTCGGAATACCAGGTTCCGGAAAAGTGGATGCCGGAAGAGACGAT